CTACACGCCGGTTTAATAATAATCATACTGTTCCCAATGAACTTAAAACATTCATGAATAGTGCTAGATGTGACAGCAAAAGTCGTTGCAAAATTGTTATTTTTATTAGACTTAATAATTCTTTATGTAGCCAGCCAGTATAAGGTCAGCATGCCGTATGCAGATCGGCGATCCTCTACTTATGCTGGGTACCTTCAAACAAATCCCACTCTTTGTTTAACTACAATGATCACTGCGGTATACCGTACCCCGGATATTGCTCGATATTATGAGGACTTTCATACCATTTCGCGACTTTTAACGGGGAACAAAGGTTAGTTCAGCGACGATATTTTCCAAACTAATGGCCATTTCGTCTATCTAAACTGGTTTTATATATCTAGAGGTATTTTTGTAGCTCTAAAAGACATAAAGGTATTACAGGTATTTGTAAAATTGATTAAACTACCCCTAAACGATCCGCTGCTCACTAGAAAATACTGACCGCGATACTGTAGAATCGTTAGAAATTATTATATTACCAATATAAAAAAAATTGAATCGAGCAATTTTTTTATTCACAATCCAAGTATGCTTTGTCCAAATTTCAGGCAAAAAGTGTGAAAGTACAAAAAGATACAGGCCAAAAAAAGACCGTGGTACACTGACATGTGTATTTATTCTCAAAATGCACTGTCATCTGAGGGTCTATTGTTGATTGAACATTTACAACATAAACATTATCATCATTAACACATTTCACTCGATTCAAGTTTTTCTTTTAAGGAAGTATATGCAGAAAAACATCAAATTTGACTGATCCAAGCTCATTTATCACGTGAGCAAAGAGACGAATTTTACCTCCTAATTACATTTCAAAGCTATTTCTCAACATTTTTGGGGTTTCAGTAACTAGAGAAATTATTGAAGTATTTGTTTTTCTATAAAATTTATATCAAACCAATTCAACATGACTAAATATCGTCACTGAACTTACCTTCCTTCCTCGTTCAAAGTCGCGAATTGGGATGAAAGTCCTCATTATATCGAGCAATATCCGGGGTACGGTATACCGCAATGATGATGTATAAGCTTAAGATTAACGTAAAAAATTATGTAAAACATTCACTTTATAGTCATTTGTGAGCATCGGTGCCTGGCGTCTAATATTTCCTTTATACCTTCTTATATCTATAGTAAACATGTTTATTTTATGTATTGTCCAGGTCAAGCAAATATAACTGGCAAGACGAACTCGTTTGGTATGAGATAAAACACAACACTTAGGTTGAATGAAATAGGGCATTTATTAAATGCCATAAATGACAAATGTTACATAATAACAAACATGGCATGTACATATTTGTATTGAAATAACCAAACTGGGAGGTAAAAACCGCCAACTGGGAGGTAAAAAACGCCAGATTATGATATACATTGTAATGTAATGATTAACCACAAGATCAAAATAAACAATGAAATAGATAACAATCTTAGCAAAAGTTGTAATAGATGACAAAGTTGAACTAAAAACCATCTACACAAATATAATAATATGGATTGCTGATCAAAAACCATAAAATAAAAAATATTTTTCCAAATCGTGGTCGACTCGCCCAGGAAAAACCATAGTTTGGAAACCTGTGCCCTTTTATCTTGTGTCTAGTACCACTTGATGTAGGGCTACATCCTTGAAAAATATTTTTAACATTCTATACATGAATAAGTGTATTTCATATGACTAGATCATAAGTATTTATGACAACAAATAAAAAAAAAATTATGACAACAATAAAAAATTTTGAAAGAGATAATATAACATTGACTAGTTTTATAAAACTTTGCATGAACAATATACATACATGTACTTTAGTGGCGGGCATTTAGATTTACCCTTGTTCCGTCCGTTCGTCCATCCGTTCTCTTTTGTGTCGCATGTAACTCAAAAAGTATTTGACCGAGAGTCATGAAACTTTACAGGAATGTTGATCAGCATGTGTAGTTGTGCACCTGGGTATTTTCGTCTGGATATTTTTAGTATTTTTAGAGTTATTGCCCTTGACTTAGTAAAATTTTGCAATTTTCAAATTGTGTCGCATGTAACTCAAAAAGTATTTGACCTAGAGTCATGAAACTTTACGGGAATGTTGATCAGCATGTGTAGTTGTGCACCTGGGTATTTTTGTTTGGATATTTTTAGTATTTTTAGAGTTATTGCCTTGACTTAGTAAAATTTTGCAATTTTCAAATTGTGTCGCATGTAACTCAAAAAGTTTTTGACCTAGAGTCACGAAACTTTACGGGAATGTTGATCAGCATGTGTAGTTGTGCACCTGGGTATTTTTGTTTGGATATTTTTAGTATTTTTAGAGTTATTGCCTTGACTTAGTAAAATTTTGCAATTTTCAAATTGTGTCGCATGTAACTCAAAAAGTATTTGACTTAGAGTCACGAAACTTTACGGGAATGTTGATCAGCATGTGTAGTTGTGCACCTGGGTATTTTTGTTTGGATATTTTTAGTATTTTTAGAGTTATTGCCTTGACTTAGTAAAATTTTGCAATTTTCAACTTGTGTCGCATGTAACTCAAAAAGTATTTGACCTAGAGTCATGAAACTTTACAGGAATGTTGATCAGCATGTGTAGTTGTGCACCTGGGTATTTTCGTCTGGATATTTTTAGTATTTTTAGAGTTATTGCCCTTGACTTAGTAAAATTTTGCAATTTTCAACTTGTGTTGCATGTAACTCAAAAAGTATTTGAGCTAGAGTCATGAAACTTTACAGGAATGTTGATCAGCCTTTATTTAATGACAGAAATTTCATATTTGATAGGAAGATAACTTACATGATACTCTTCCTTTTGATTGAGGTAGGGGTCAGTGTGTCATGGTCAAAGATGCAAAAAAGAGATTTCTACATGTTTGCTAATACAGCTTTTACTTTTTGACTGATGTTTTTTTATATTTGGTGGGTGAAAAACCTGCATGGTCTTCTTCCTTTTGATTGAGTTAGGGGTTAGTTGGGTCAAGGTCATCGATCAGTGCTAAAAAAATTTTTCCTCACTTCTGCCCATAAAGCCTTTATTTAAGGACAGATGTCTTTCATATTTGGTTGGAAGATTACTTGCATGTTATTCTCCCTCCGATTGAATGATTTCAACACATTTGCTAAAACAGCCTTTATTTTTTTACTGATATTTTTCATATTTGAAAGGATCATAACTTGCAATGACTTGCCAACTTATATTTTTCACAATTACAAAACGCTCTGACCATCCTTAACTCAATGGTTCAAACTATGTTCAAACTTAATGGTTTGAACAATTTTATTAGTTTGAGATATTGTTATTGAGGGGACATTTGTGTTTAACAAACATGTTCTTGTTTTGTTTTGTTTTTTTAGGTTTTTTTTGAAAGATAATGGTGCACTTATCAGGTTTATTACGGCATAGGTGTGGAAAAAAAATCTGTGGTGCATTTTCTATTATATTTTATATATTTAACATATTAATGAATGTTTATCAAATCACTTATGGTTTACTTAATGTAGTAAATTATGTTAAAACAGGTTAGGAAAAGAGAAAAAGAAAAAAATGAATATAGTGAAGGAAAAGGGGAAACAAGATGAAAGGATTGAGGAGCTACAGAATGCTAGAGATAGAATGTCTAAGCTGCTTAAAGAGGAACAGACTAAAGTCAGTGCTCATCTGAAGACATTGAAGTATTATGAGAGCCAACAGAAAGCCTTTGATCTGGAACGACAGTCAGAACCGTGAAACCAAACAGTCATTAGTGACACTATCACTACAGAGCCTTGAAGTCCTGCTTGATGGTTTGATTTTATTATTATTGATTATACGCTCGAAAGAATTTTGGAGTATAAATGTTATGCACCTCAGGTTGTCTGTCTGTCCGTCTGTTAGCAGGTTTTCTTGTCCGGTCTGTATTTTTTGAACTGGTTATAGGAAATTAAAACTACTTGGCAGAAATGTTAACCATAATGAGACGATGTGCAGAGAACAGGTTTGACCTTCCTTAGGTCAAGGTCACACTCAGTCATTTTGTTTCAATATCATATCTTTTTGTCAGCTCTGTATCTTTTGAACCAATTGAAAGAATTAAAACTTTTTGGCAGGAATATTACTTATATTGAGGCGGTGTGCAGAACATAAGTTTTGACTTCCTACAATCAATATTGGCCCCGCCCCAAGCATTTATTGATTTATAAAGACTTATATAGGAGTTTTCCTGTCTGAACTGTATCTTCTGAAACCGTGGAAGAAAATTCAAACTACTTGGGAGAAATGTTAACCATAATGAGACAATGTGCAGAGCGCAGGTTTGACCTTTCTCAGGTCAACATCAAGGTCACAGTCATTTTGTTTCAATATCAAAAATTTTTGTCCGCTCTGTAACCTCTGAACAGATAGAAAGTAATTAAAAAATTTTGGCAGGAATATTACTTTTATTAAGACGGTGTGCAGAACTTTTGACCTCCTCCCAACCCGGGTATTAATTGATTTATGAAGAATTACATAGGAGTTTTTGTGTCTGGTCTGTATCTTTTGAACCGGTGTTAAGAAATTGGTACTACTTGGCAGAAATGTTAATCATAATGAGAAGATATGCAGAGCATAGGTTTGACCTTCCTCAGGTCTAGGTCAAGGTCACACTTAGTCATTTTGTATCAATTTTCAAAATTTTGTGGCCCCTCTATTTCTTTTAAACTGATAGTATGAAATTAAATCTATTTGGCAGAAATATTTATATATCTGAGATGATGTGAAGTGCACAGTTTTGGACTTCTTCAGGTCAAGGTCACACTGACTGCCTAGTTATTTTTAAAGTTTAACCAGACTACTCCTCTTGTACCACTAACGTAATTTCAATGAAACTTTACAGGATTGATCTTGGCATAATACACGGGTTTTCCGGTTGAATGATATTTGGCAGAGTTATGCCTCTTGAATAAAAAAATGTGTTTTACAATGTTAATGATTTTTATATGCCCGAAAGAATTTCGGGCATATTATGTTATACCCCCTGGCGTCAGTCCGTCTGTCCGTCCGTCCGTTAGCAATTTGGTTTCTGGAGCATAACTTAAGTTCCATTTGGCCCACAATATTCAAACTTCATAGGATGATTGTCCATATTGGGTAGAAGACCTCTATTGATTTTGAGGTCACAAGGTCAAAGGTCAAGGTCACTATTATTTTAAAACTGAAAACAGTTTCCGGAGCATAACTTAAGTTCAATTTGGCCCAAAGTGTTCAAACTTCATAGAATGATTGTCCATATTGGGTAGAAGACCCCTATTGATTTTGGGGCACAAGGTCAAAGGTCAAGGTCACTATCACATTAAAACTGAAAACAGTTTCCGGAGCATAAGTAAAGTTCAATTTGGCCCACAGTTTTCAAACTTTATAGTATGATTGTCCATACTGGGTAGAAGACCCCTATTGATATTGGGGTCACAAGGTCAAAGATCAAGGTCACTATCACCTTAAAACTGAAAACAGATTCCGGAGCATAACTTAAGAGTCATTTAGCCCACAATATTCAAACTTCATAGGATGATTGTCCATATTGGGTAGAAGACCCCTATTGATTTTGGGGTCACAAGGTCAAAGGTCATTATTACTTTAAAACTGAAAACAGTTTCCATACCCTAACTTTAAATCCATTTGGCCCACAGTGTTCAAAATTCTTAGGATGATTGTCTATATTGGGTTAGAACACCCCTTTTGAGTTTGGGGTCACAAGGTCAAAGTTCAAGGTCACTATTACCTTAAAACTGAAAACAGTTTCCGGAGCATAACTTATGTTCCATTTGGCCTACACTATTCACACTTCATAAGAGGATTGCTATTTGAAGGAGGTAATACTTTATTTAATTCCCATGCCTTACAAATGCTTCGTCTTTACTAAAAAAAACACAAACACTTTCGGGCATATAATGCTCCGCCTAGCGGTGCTCTTGTTGTGCCTTCTGCTTCACAGAAGCTGCAACATGTAATTAGCTATCATTAGACAACATATGTGATCACTGATACAGCTCTTGTTATGGGCTTGTATTTACTAACTAGTAAACCTCTTTTGCTTTGGGGTTTCATTTATTGTCAGTTTTCTTGCAATTGGCTTATACATGTATTTACTGCCCAATCTATGTTGCTATGGAATCTGGAGGGGGATATTGTTTTAGCGTTCTCTGTCTGTCCTTCCGTCTGTCTGTCCATCCATCCATCCTCCCGAATTTCATTTCCGCGCCAGTTCTCTGCAAATAATCTGGAATTCAATGAAACTTCAACGCTAAGAGGAGATGCGCATATCGGTCAGACCCGTTAACACAGAGTTATGGCCCTTGATTAGTTATGCAGTATGCATATAGAGCAATAATCTTTTCTGTGCTACTTCTCTGCAACTTTTGGCTGGCATTTAACGAAACTTTATAGGAACCATTAATACCAAGACAAGATGGGCTTTTTGTCGTTGTTCCTTCAACAAAGCGGTCAGACCCTTCAACAAAGGGTTTTGGCTCTTGATTAGTTATAGGGTTTGCATATAGAGCAAGAATCATTTCCATGCTATTTCTCTGCAACTATTAAGAGTTCATTGAAACTTTATGGGAACCATCAACACCAAGACGAGATGGGCATATTGTTTCCTTGTTCCGGTCAGACCCTTCATCACAGGAACATGGGGCGTCCGTGGCCGAGTGGTTAAGGTCGTTGACTTCAAACCACTTGCCCCTCACCGCTGTGGGTTCGAATCCCGACAGGGACTTTGGATTCTTTCATGTGAGGAAGCTATCCAGCTAGCTTATGGAACGTCGGTGGTTCTACTCAGGTGCCCGTTCGTGCCTGAAATAATGCACGGAAAGGCACCTGAGGTCTTCCTCCACCAGTAAAGCTGGAACGTCGCGATATGACCTATAATGTGTCGATGTGACGTAAAACCCAAAACAAACAAACAAACAGGAACATGGACCTTGATTATTTATATTGTATGCATATAGAGCAATATTGCTATTGTTTTGCAACTGCTGGATTGATTTCAACAAAACTTTATAGGAACCATCAATACAAAAAAGGCAATGTCCAGATAATACTATTTAACACAGAGCTATGGCCTCTGTTATTGCCCTGGTTTTTAAATAATGTACAAAGAATATTACTGTTAATGCCATGATAAATATATGAATAAAGCCTTATGTCTCCAGTTGTTGTGTTAGTAATGACCAGTACTCCACAGGGATATAAATTCAACCAATTTGCTCTTGTTCTCACTGCCAATAATTTGCCACTACCTATAATTTTGTCTTGTATTTGCTGTCAGAAATCTTTAGCTATGGGATTTTATTAACTGCCAAACCTCTGTTCCTATGGACTTGTTTTAACTGCCAATCCTCTGTTGCTATGGGCGTATATTTACTGCCAAACATGTGTTTATGGGCTTGTATTTACTGCAAAATCTCTTTTGCTATGGGCTTGTGTTTACTGCCAAACCTCTGTTCCTATGGACTTGTTTTAACTGCCAATCCTCTGTTGCCATGGGCTTATATTTACTGCCAAACAATATTTACTGCCAAACATGTGTTGCTATGGGCTTGTATTTACTGCCAAACCTCTGTTGCTATGGGCTTATATTTACTGCCAAACATCTGTTGCTATGGGCTTATATTTACTGTCAAACCACTTCCACTTGCAGTGGGCTTATATTTACTGCCAAACTTCTATTGCTATGGGCTTGTATTTACTGCCAAACCTCTGTTGCTATGGACTTGCTTTTACTGCCAAACCTCTGTTGCTATGGGCTTATGTTAACTACCAAACCTCTGTTGCTATGGACTTGTATTTACTGCAAAACCTCTGTTGCTATGGGCTTGTGTTTACTGCCAAACCTCAGTTTCTATGGGCTTATATTTACTGCCAAACATCTGTTGCTATGGGCTTCTATTTACTGCCAAACATTTGTTGCTATGGGCTTATATTTACTGTCAAACCACTTGCAGTGGGCTTATATTTACTGCCAAACCTCTGTTGCTATGGGCTTATATTTACTGTCAAACCTCAGTTGCTATGGGCTTATATTTACTGCCAAACCTCTGTTGCTATGTGCTTATATTTACTGTCAAACCACTTGCAGTGGGCTTGTATTTACTGCCAAACCTCTGTTGCTATGGGCTTGTATTTACTGCCAAACCTCTGTTGCTATGGGCTTGTAATGGGCATGTATTTACTGTCAGACCTCAGTTGCTATGTGCTTATATTTACTGCCAAACATCTGTTGCTATGTGCTTATATTTACTGCCAAACATCTGTTGCTATGGGCATGCATTTACTGTCAGACCTCAGTTGCTATGGGCTTATTTACTGCCAAACCTCTGTTGCTATAGGCTTGTTTTTACTGCCAAACCTCTGTTAATATGGGCTTGTATTTACTGCCAAACCTCTGTTGCTTTAATGTCATTAAGCAAATGACGTTAAACGATGTTAGCATTGTCTTTGATGTTAGGAAAAAAAGTTAATTATCCCCCGCCGAAAAGGCGGCGGGGGATATAGAAATAGTCTCCTTCCGTCCTTCCGTCCGTCCTTCCGACCGATATTTTTGTCCGGAGCATATCTCTAAAAGTATTTGAGTTATCAACTTGAAACTTCAAAGGTAGATGGATCTCATTGAGGAGGAGTGCAGTGCTTAAGAATGATAACTCTACCTGCATTATTTTTGAGTTATTGCCCTTTTTTTTTTTTCAAAGATAAATTTTTGTCCAGAGCATAACTCAAAAAGCCTTGAGATATCAAAATGAAACTTCAAAGGTGCACAGATCTCACT